TGTGGGGCAGCATGTAGCACACCTTCTCAATGTCGTTCACCAGCTGCTCCTGCCGGGAGAAGGCAGGCAGAGGGAAAACCCCACTCCTTGCTGCCCCCTTTCCCAGCGCCTCCATCCCTGGACAGCAGCAGCAGGGCTCACCTCCGTCACGTTGTTCTCCAGGAGGCTCTCGGCCGCCTTCACAGCGAACTGGCACATCTCACACAGCGGTGTGGTCCCCTCCCTGTCCTGTGGGAAAAAGGCAGTGGGATGCACACTGAGCCCCCCAGCACCGCCCCCTTCCCACCCAGCCATCAACCCCCACAAAAGATATTCCCCAGCTTGGAAAAATGGAGATGCTTGAGGAAAAATATGCAAAATAGAGCTCCTCCTCCCCAGCATTTGGAATTAAGGAGCATGGCAGTCAGAAGGGGTCCCCGCTTACCCACAGCGTGCTCAGGACCTGCACCATCTTCTCTGTGAGCAGTGTGTGGAGGGGCAGCACTGAGGAGGAGGAGCAGAGTCCCAGCTGGCCACACAGCTCCATGGGGTCCTGGGGAGAGACGTCTTAAATCGGGTGGGCATCAACCCCCAGGAGGGTGAGCCTGTGCCCCCAGTTCCCAATGGAGGGTGATTTCAGCCCGCTGGGGCATGGGTCTCACTTACCTCAGCCAGCTGCCAGTGGAGGGACCAGAAAATGGCAAGAAAAAGAGAGAATAAAAAAGAATTACAGCAGTTGCGAGCCAGAGAGCGGGGGAAAATATTTATAGAATATAAAGCAGTGGGTTTAATTAAAAAAAACAAGGGCAGGGCCCCGCATTTGCTGATGAGGTCTCCTTGGCTGTGCCACTTGGGACCCCCCGCCAGCACCCACCCATTCCAGGCAGCCCTGGGGAGCTGCTCACCCACTTACCATATACCGGAGCAGCTGGACAGCCGTGTCCATGTACTCAGCCAGGTAGTGCTTGCACTGTGCAGGGGAGACGCAGCGTCAGCACGCAGGGGTGGACGGACGCCCTACCACCCTGCCCACAGCACACCCTCTGCCAGGGCGCTGCCAAAAGCTGCAAAAGATGCTCCTGCGCCATGGTGACATGGAGGAGGAGGAGGAGGGAGCCCCGCACGACGGTGGCACTCCTTACCTGCTGTGCCAGGTCGGGTGCCAGGCCCTCACATGCCCACTCGGTGCGGGCCACCAGTGCCTGAGTGAAGGCGGTGTTGGTCCCCAGCTCCAGATGCACAGTGGCCACCAGCTGCAGGCATTCCTCGCACACTTCTTCCTTCTCCTGTGGGACAACATGGGCAGGAACACATCAGTGCATCCCAGAAATAGCACCGAGTGGCCCCAGTGCCTCCATTTGCAAGGCTGAGACTTAAATGCCAGTCTCAATCTGGAGCAGCTTTTTGGCCAGCTTCTCTCTGGTCCCTGCCCTGCACCCTGCAATATCCCAACCCGAAATTGGTGACACGCCAACCAGATGCCATTTCAGCTGCACAGTAATCTTAATGTTTTCTAAAAATGATTGTTAAATAAGTGATGCTGAGTGGCTTCTCACCCTTAAGCAGCATCAATGGCATTCCCACCTGTGCCATAGTACCTGGGCCTCACCACGGGGCAGGTCCTGGGGATGGAGCAGGAGGGGCACGTTGGCGATGAAGGGGGTGACCAAGTCAGCAAAGTCCTGAGCAGGGTGCGCAGGGGCTGGCGGTGGCTCCTGAAACTTCAGGGCCCCTGTGGGGCTCTCCCGGGGCTGGCACAGCTTGATGGTCCCACACACCACTTTTGGGTCCGACTGTGAGAGCAGAGGCATGGAGGCTTGGGGTTGCATCTGGCCCATCACCCTGCTCCCTCTCCCCCCCAAGCCTGGGTAATTTCCATCCCCGCCTCATTCCCAGGGAGGTTTTGTTCCAGGATCCAAGCACCTCCCTTGCTCTGCAAGCCCCCAAGATACCCCAAACCATGGAGAAAAGCAAACCCAAAGGGGTCCCCCACCAGTTACCAGCACTTGCTTGCCCAGCTGGACAAGGATAAGGATACCGGTGTCCACCATCCTCTTGCACTTCACAGACCAGTCCTGGAAGGGCAGGTACTGGCATTTCTTATCCAAGAAGAGCCGCAGCTTTTCCTAGGTAACAAGGAGAAAGCTCAGGAATGGGTGGCCCTGTGGTGTGAGGGTGACACACCAGACCTGCACCTCACTCCAGGCTGTGACCCACCTCAGTGCGGTTGTCCTGCAGAATCTTGCCTACCACAGAGACTGCCATCTGACATAGGTGACAGGGGATCCCCTTCTGCTGAGAGAGGGGACACAGCGGGATGTTGCCATGGCACCCAGACCCACCGCTTGCTCCTCCGATCCCAAGCCAGATCTGTTTCTGATCCCCCCAGAAACACCCCACCAAGAGGCATTTGGGAATATCCTGGAGCACCAATTGTTTTTTGCCGCTCAGTCTGCAGACACATTGTTGCCTGACAGCATCAGCAGATGCTCCTCTGGTTGGCCAGCACCGGGTTGGGCAGGCTGGGATTGTCCCCCCAGCCCCACATTTTGAGGCAGGAGAGGCACTTCACTCCATCCCCCTGCCTCCCAGTGCGGTTACCCCCAGGGCCTGGTCCCAGACGGTGATCCGGCAGAGCTCCAGTGTCCCACACTTGGCCGCTGTCACCACATCGCGGCACCAATCCTCCGGCCGTGCGCTGCACTCATGGAGGGGGCTGGCCCCAGCTGTGGAGGGGAGAGGAAACCATCAGTGCTCCCAGAGCACTTCAAGACCATCTCTTGCCTCACACCAACCACTCCATCAGCCCTGCCCCGCAAGCTGGGGCGATGCTCTTCATCCTCCCGCTGTGATTCACCCTCAGCTTTCACAATGGTGGTGCGGTTGCTGGGTTTTCTAAATGATGTTATAAGCCCAGCAAAGGCAGGCTTTGCCAGGCCAGCGCGCGCTGCCAGCTTTACCAACATGTCACATCAGCCTTGGGCCAGTGTCAAAAGCAAAGCGAACTTGGCGATCATCACCCTCAGCCTCACAGCACCCTTCAACGCACTGGGGAGGCGGCTGCTCGTAAAAAGAGCAATACCTCTTTCAAAACGAGCAAACCAGGGTGGCAGCGCGCAGCCCCGCACAGCAGCCGGTTAGCCACACCGCGGCTCCCGGCAACGGTTGAGCAACCCCGGTTTGGGTTGTTATTTTTTTCCATTTCCTCCCAACGACAGCGTTTTCTCCTGGCTGCAAATCCCTGTCACGGCAGCGTCGGCATCGCCCACCCTGGCTGCCCAAGCAGCGCAGTGGTATGGTGCAACACCAGTGGTTTAATTGCCGCCTTGGCGTGTCAGGATTCATTCAGGATGGGGCAAAGATTTATTCCCACCAGGGGCTGCACCCACTCAGGATGAGGCTGGGGAGGAAGCAAGGAGCCAGCACAACCCAGGCCCTTCACTGCCCTGCTTTGGCTGGAGCTGCTCTGGAAATTCAGGGGGCACACGGGGAGTAGCACATGAACAGGCTGACAGACCCTGCTGCGTACCCTTTTCTAAGCAAAGCACCACCCATCTCCCCCAGAGCACTTGCATCCAGCTTTTATCACCCAGCCCTGGCCGTATGATCTTGCATAGCAGGAATAAAGCCAAAGGCAGAAACTGCTCCTTCCACCCACCCTGCCCTTATCAAGTTTCTCCCCAAAAGCTGTTTTCCTGCATGCCAGATTTTGGCAACACCTTTGGCTTGTTCATGGGACATGTTGGGGCAACAGCTTGAGATGCCTGGGGGCCATCCCAGGAAGTCACCTGGAGTGGGAGCTGCGGGCAGGGGACCTCCGAGCCCCCACCAGCCCCACCGCTCCCAAAGCACTGGCACAGCTTGGCGGGTGCCTGGTGATGTTTCAGTGCTGATTACCCCATCAGGCTGACGGCAGCACCAGGGCAGGAGTGAGCCCAGGGGCAGGGTGAGTCCCCCCGGCTTCCCATGCACGCCTTCCCACACACCACTCTCCAGCAGCACGCTGCCGCGGTCGCTGCATCAGCTGAGAGATAGACATTTAGGGTTTTAACCCTGGCACTAGTATCAGGGCAAACAGGAATGGCAAGTCAACAGAAGTGTTATGGGGCAGCACCAAAAAAAAAAGGAGAGGGGAGGCAACAACCCCACAGTTTGTTTCTAAGCTTATTTTGCCTGACCCACAGACACAGGCCAGACCAACAGCATAAGGATGTTGCCAGTGATAGGATGAGGGGATTTAGCTGTTCTAAAAGGCACTGGTGGTTTAGACCCGCACCTTTGTGCCTCACAGTGGCTCTCAGCTCAGCGCTTACTCCTGGCCCTGCTCAAGATGAAACTCAGGCAAGTGATGGGCCACAAAAATACTTAATGCTAATCACAATACCCAACTGCTGAAAGCAGTGGGAGCTTCCCCAGGAGGAAAGCATCACCACAGGGCAAACAACCAGGGCAACTGGTGCCCTGTGAGCTCTCCTCTACATTTCTGAGCTGTGACAGAGCAGTCCCATGCTGACAGGCTCTCAGGCAGCAGGATGCCAGACTATGCCATTTTCTGCAAACCCCAGCATGGAGCACAGGGCAAGGCAGGGATGCTCCCGTGACACTGTAGTGTCCCCAGACCAGCCAGGAGTATCCTACCCGTGGCTACCAGGCCCCCAGGGTAGGGTGGGCTTTGCTCAGGGGGGATCCAGCACTGAGCTCCACATCTGGCAGGGCTGCGCCAGCATTACATGGCGCCCTGGAGCACACTGGCTGAGCCGGCAGAGCCTGGCGAGCAGGTTGTGATGTAAACCCTGGGGGTGGCGGTGTGGGCCCCGGCGCCCCAGTTCCCGGCCTGGTGCACACCCCTGTTACAGCAAAAAACGTAAATACGCT